ACTTAGCTTTTCTTTTCGATCGTCACTGTTGTTCAGGTGTGTTCCTTATGCATTTACCTCTAACTTCTTAACCACAATTTGAAAGAGGTCATTATAGAAATTTAAGACTTAAGATTCTGTAAAATTGGAGGATCCGAAGTGCTGTTGTTCCTAGCATAGATGATCTTTTGCCACCATTTGTAGCAAAGACTATGTATGATCGCCATATGTATATTCTTATGTGTATGCGTGTGTTTGTGGATAAAACAACTATGAATTAATTTCTATTGTCTTTCACTTATGACTTATCATTGTCTAAAGTCCATTAGATGTCTATTATTGACTAATAGTATTTAAATTTAAATATTTTTTAAATAATCTGATTTATTTGAAAATTGGCATGTGTGTACTCATCTAACCATCTTGCACCTAAACAAAATATCAAAAATAATTATCAAAAATAAAATGATAAAAATATTCTTTGAAATGTTTATAAGGGTAATATGGTCATTCTTATTATTTCAATTATTTTTTATATTTCATTTTAGTATGCCTCACCAAGGCGCTTATATCTACAAAATTTGAGGTTATAAAAAATTATTAAAATTCAAATACCCTCAGAAAATCATGACCGTTTGATAGACTTTAGATGTTGATGAGGAATGAGTAAAATGCTATATAACTTTACTCAAAAATATTTTTAAGTATATATATATATCATCGTTAGCATCATCATCAAAGCCTTTTTTCAACTATATGGGGTTGGCAATATGAGTTTTGGTATGCCATTTTACTCTATCAAGAGCTATACCCCGAGGTCAAAATTTGCCATATCTTTTCTCACTCTTAATGCATTTAATATGGTCTAGATCCCTACACTTTTTCTCTCTTATTTTTGCTTATATGATGACATCTTTTTCATCTTTTCTTAATGCATTTAATCATCAAAGTCTTTTTCCAACTAAATGGATTCGGCTACATGAATCTTTGTCCGTCATTTTGCTCTATTAAGGGCCATACCCTCAGTGAGGCTATAAGTCCCCATATTTTTTCTCACTATTTCCAACCATATCCTTTTTGGCCTATCCCTTATCCTTTTTGAGCCTTCCACTTGAACTAACACGTACTTCCTAACAAGTGTTGTACTGAGTTTGCGCTACACATGGCCTGCCGACCTAAGTTTTCATTATCTCATCTTATCGGCTATTGGTGCCATACCTATATTCTACCGGATGTATTCATTTTGAATTCTATCTCTTCTTGTATTGCCACTCATCTATCTCTACATCCCCATCTTAACTACATTTATTCTATGGGTATGTTGTTTTTTGACCGTCCAACATTCCACCCCATATAGTCAAGCTGGTCTCATAGTTGACCTATAGAATTTTTCCTTCAGCTTAATTGGTATGCGGCGATCACATAAAACTTCGGTTGCACATGCCCATGTCTTCCACCTTGCTCTAATTTTAGGTGTGGCATCTTCCTCAATCTCTCCATTTTCTTGGACTATTGACCCAAGATATTGAAAGTGCGCTCTTTTTAGTATTTCTTGGCTTTTAATCTTAACTACTTCCTCGTCTCTACTCCTATTATTACTAAACTTGATTCAATTTACTCTATCTTTGTTTGGCAAAGTTTGAAACTTTTAAATTCTAAAGCATTTAAGATATATATATATATATATATATATATATATAATATACACAAACATACATATATACATATATGTATATATGTATGTTTGTCATTGCTTTCGATGTCAGTGTCCATTATGTGTGTTGTGTATGTGTGTGTGTGTGACTGTTTTATCTGTCATTGTTTTCTGTGGCAGTGTCCATTATGTATGCTTTATGCCATGTTCAATCTTTCTTGGCTGTGCCTCCCTAGATTTTGTTTGTGCTCAATCTTTGTCTAGGCGGGGCAAGTGTTGTACTTGAACTAACTCGCACTTCCTAACAAGTGTTGTACTGAGTCTGCGCTACACATGACCCACCAACCTAAGTCTATTTTATCTCATCTTATCAGCTATTGGTGCCATACCTATATTCTGTATTCATTTTGAATTCTATCTCTTTTTGTATTACCACTCATCCATCTCTACATCTTCATCTTAGCTACACTCATTCTATGAGTATGTTGTTTCTTGACCGTCCAACATTCCACCCCATGAAGTCAAGCTGGTCTCGTAGTTGACCTATAGAATTTTTCCTTCAGCTTAATTGGTATGCGGCGATCACATAAAACTTCGGTTGCACATGCCCACTTCTTCCACCTTGCTCTAATTCTAGGTGCAACATCTTCCTCAATCTCTCCATTTTCTTGGATTTTTTACCCAAGATATTGAAAGTGCGCTCTTTTTGGTATTTATTGGCTTTCAATCTTAACTACTTCCTCGTCTCTACTCCTATTATTACTAAACTTAATTCAATTTACTCTATCTTTGTTTGGCAAATTTTGAAACCTTTAGATTCTAGAGCTTTTAAGATATATATGTATGTTTGTGTGTGTGTGACTCTATTATTTGTCACTGCTTTCGATGTCAGTGTCCATTATGTATGCTTGTGTGTGACTGTTTTATCTGTCATTGCTTTCTGTGGCAGTGTCCATTATGTATGCTTTATGCCATGTTCAATCTTTCTTGGCAGTGCCTCACTAGATTTCGTTTGTACTCAATCTCTGTCTAGGCAGGCAACCAATTACTGCATTTCCTTGGCAAATCTTTCATGTTTGGAGAAGGCATGTGATAGCCTCCAAATCTAGTAGGATTGGAATCCAGTGCCATATGCATGTAATGTTATTATCTGGTCCCTGTTCTTTTTATTCTTCATATTGGAAATTTGGTACAGGCTACCTTTTATTTTCATAATCCAAAGCCATCCAAATTGCTTCTTTTCTGTTTTTTTATGAAGTATGAATAAAGCATATTAAATTGGACAATGACTTTTTGAGGGAGATGCATTTATGCATGCATTGTTCCCTTATATACATTCCTACTGCTGGATGCAAATTTTTCACCAAAGGAGGTTACAATGCGTGTTATGGGATTGGTGAGAAACATCCTCTTCTTGTTATAACAATGTCATATCAAAGTTGAAGGTACTGCTAATTTTATGTATTCTAAATATATTATGCTCAGTGGGGTAGTTTTGGGCTTCGGCCTTCTACATGTATCTTGCTGTATTTTTCCACATAAAGACAACTTCATTATTTTTTTTTATGAGTACTTTCTTTGCGTGGGAGTTCAATCCCTCATTTTAGTTGATGACTGCGCATTTTTTCCGTCAACGTTTCATTCTGGCTGCTGGTTCTAGTGACTGGTTTCTACTAATTCACTTTTAGATTCATGGGCATGTATGAACCTGCTCCAAGTCAGGTATACATTTCCTTGCAGGAAGGGAAAAAGAAAAGTTTAGATAAATTATGGAATACACATTGAGAGAACCTAATTAAGTTCCATTAAGTTCTATGTTGCACTTTAATCAGTTACACAAGAATCTCTTCATCAAGTTCTTTGTTCTGTTGCCATGCAGGCGATTGACTCAAGGTTATTAATGCTTTATTGCTGGGGCTAAACTCTAAGAGACCTGATGTTCATAAGATCTTGGTTGTTTGGTGCTAACTTTTTATGGGTCCTTTAAAGGAAATTCTTACCGCTTGATCTTGGAGGTTTTTTGACATTATCATCATCAAAAACCTTTTTCCAACTATTTGGGATCGGCTACACTAATCCTCGTCCTCCATTCTACTCTATCAAGAGCCATACCCTCAGTGAGGCCATAACGCCCCTTCATCTTTTCTCACTATTTTCAAGCATATCCTTTTGAGTCTACCTCTTGTCCTTTTTGAACCTTCCAATTGAACTAACTCGCACCTCCTAACATGTGTGTACAAGGTCTGCGCTGCACATGGCCAGCCCACCTAAGTCTACGTTTTCTCAACTTGCCACACCTAAGTTCTCCCGAATATATTCATTTCAAATTCTATTCCTTCTTGTCTTGCCACTCATCCATTTGAACATCCTCATCTCTGCTATACTCATTCTATGGGTATGTTGTTTCTTGACCGCTCAATATTCCGTCTCTTAAAGTAAAGCTGGTCTCATAGCTGTCCTATAGAACTTTGACCCTTCAACAAGCTTCTAGGAACTTCTTTCTAATCAGAAACCAGTATTGGGTAAGTTTGTGTAGAGGGCAAGGGCCATATCTAACAGTGAACGAATTGTTCCGGCTGTTGGATCTCGTGGTAAATATTATGTGATCTTATCATAAATTCTAGGCACTAGTAAGAAACTGTTAAGAGTTTCATCGGGATATCGACAAGTTTCAATCAAACAGAAGTGTTCTTCAGTGAAGAAAACACTAGTGCTCTTCAGTGAAGAAAACACATTCTAGGATGATGTTGCCTGGAAGACAGAATTCAAGTCATTTTTACATGTTATTCTTTTGTTACTTCATTCCTGTTCTAGAACATAAATAGAGAGCCATGCTGGATGCTTCCTCTGGATTTCTGGTCACTCGCATGCTAGAATAGACCCAAGAGAGCCAAGCTGGTCACTTCCCTTATAGTTGTGGTTCTCTGCATCCTAGGATAGAGCAGTGTCAGTCACTTTTGAATGCAAGTATGCAAATTTTAAGCTCATGATATTTGAATGCATCTAGTCAGCAATAAATTGATTCATTCGATTAAGACTCCTCTGTTGAAGAATGTTGACTTTGTTCCTTACCTCTGTGGTTTTCCTGCACAGATGTGTCTATCTTAGAACTCTATATTCTGGTTTGTATGAAAAGATTGGAGGCTAAAGATTGTGGATCCTACAACTTCAATTCCATAATGAAAGGTTAGACTTCTGTAACATGGTTTAGTTCTCCAGTATAGCTTAACATCCTGAAGCACTAGGATGACGCAATTGCCATTGCAGAGTATAAAGGCTTGCAAGATGCTTCTCAAACTGGTGCCTATTATTCTCGGCAGGTTTGTCTTCGGGTAAGAGTACGGCGGATAATATTTTGCTCAAATGTTACTGACATGAATTTGACATTCTTTTTTTTCATCTACTGCTTCTTATTGTCAGTTTCTTTGATTATGTTGGGTCACCAGTTAGGTGTCTATTGTAGAATACACATTATTTTATGCCCTGCACTGCCTTGAGGTGTTTGATGTTACAAAAGAGTTTATTATGAAAGTTGTGGGTTGTAATTTTGTGCTTCCGACTCTTGTTCTTTATTGCATTAGATCTCAAACACCTGTAATGTGAACAGTATACTAGGCACAATTCCCTTCATCTCTATGATTATCACTTGGCAGTTCAGCTAGGATTTGATGCAATCTCTTGAATTAATCCTCCCAAGAGTTTCATGTATATCTCAAACATGCATATAATCATAGCTTTGAATGCTTGTCTTTGATCTAAGTGTTTGTTCAACTGCTTCATGATAACTAGTAGCATTCACCTGCTTCGCAGGTCTCATTAAAAAGGTTCTACATATTGTGCTATTGACATAAACTTTATGAGAAAAAATATACGGAATGAGAAAATATGACTCTCTCTCTATAGTCGTGGGAGGCAAGGCACACAGGGGATAGG